AGGCGGGCTGGCCTCGTTTTCTCCCGTTTCCGGGCCACCCGGCCCGTGTCCCGAGCTGGGCCGGGCTCTGGGAACATGGAACCACCGCCCGAGGGGCCCCAGGCATGCTGCGTGGTGTGGAATACGCGCCTTTTATTCAAGCCTTGGCTGCAGTTTATTGAGCACCTACTATGTGGCAGCCACCGGATCCAACGCTTTGATTGACATCTATGGCTCACTGCCGGGACAGCAGCCCTACTGAGCAAGGTGTTATTTTCCCCGCTTGACAGCTGTGGAGAAAGGTTTACAAGCAGAAAGGGATGGAAAGTGTGGATTCAAACCCAGGTTCAGACCAGAGCAGCGGTTCTCACTCTAGAGCAGCGTTTCTCAACCTGTGGGTCGCGACCCCTTTGGGGGTCGAATGACCCTTTCACAGGGGTCGCCTAAGACCATCGGAAAATACATATATAATTACATATTGTTTTTGTGATGAATCACTATGCTTTAATTATGTTCAATTTGTAACAATGAAAATACATCCTGCATATCAGATTTACATTAGGACTCATAACAGCAAAATTACAGTTATGAAGTAGCAACGAGAATAATTTTATGGTTAAAGGGTCGTGGCATGAGGAAGGTTGAGAACCACTGCTCTAGAGCTTTGTGGTCAGACCTAAAATTCATTTTTGAATCCAGCCTCTGCCGTGTCTGATTTTGTGGCTTTGGGTATTATTCCGACTCTCAGTTTGCTCATCTGAAAAAGTGAGAATGATACCTATGTCAGGGTGGATGGGACGTTTTTCTGAGTGATCATCTTCGCTTTTCAGACGGCACCCCTCGCTTCTCTCTTCCCCAGGAGGCTAGACGTGTTGTAAAGTTTTAGTGAACACCCCCTTGGCGCATAGAGGGCGGCTGGACCGCCTGCCTTATCTTCCTTTCCCAGCTTCCCCAATAGAGGCGTTGGCACCTTTGACATTGAGTTTGCTTACGAAGTTTTCAAAGAGTTTTCTCTCTCCCCTACTTATGGGGAAATTTTCACCCAAATTAACTTTGACTAAGTCCTAAAGTTGAGGAAATGGAAGCTTTTGAATATGGGCTGGTGATTTTTACCTGAATAAATCGGATTGATTTGGCGGGGTGCAAACAAAGGCCTGGAAAACAGCGAAATGCTAGAGAGAGAGCTGGCTGATGAATAGAAAGTGGACCAGCCGGTTGGGTGGTTTTTTCCTTAGCAGGGCCCTAAATTCCCACCAAAACCGCTTCTATCTTGAGCAGTCAGCACTGCCCTGGATAAAACTTAGAGCGTTTTCCTTGCCTGTGCTTTAAGAAGAAAAGACTAGGGCTGATAGCTGAAGGCAGGCAAACAGCGAGCTTAGCTTGGTTTTGAAAACTACCCACTTGCACATTTTTAGGTAGCTGGAATTTTTCTCTGAAAGTTTTAGTAGTTGCAAAGGATATAATTTATAGTTAAGTGTAAACATTGAGATTAAAAAATAAAACACCAGGAATTTAAATCTTCAGTAGAATCTAAATACCATAGTGATTTGATTTCCCTCATCCTTTGGGGGGGAAAAAATACACGAACCAGTTTTTATTTAACAGTTGAAATTTTGCATCGTTCCTTCTTCATTCTTGAACTCCTATTTCTGTTTTATTTCCTCCACAGAATTTTTTTTCTAGTATAATAGATTTTATGCTTGAAAGCCTTTGGTTTGTCATCCTTCTTCTCTGCAACAAAAATTAAAACATTTTTGAAAATTGTGTTGTCATAATATTAAACATTTTCCTTGAGATTGAATTTTTACAATTTAAAATACACAATTGACCAAAAATATATTACTAGTTTTGATAATGGTTAAACATAAAAAGTTTTCTTTGAAATGCTTCTTTTCACAAGCTGAGTGGAAGTACTTGTTTTAGTTCATGCATTCATTCTATAAATGAGCACAGCTTTTTTATTCCATGGCTGTAAGCATTGAAAAAGTTGTTTCAGTCCTTTCTGGTTTGGCTTAGTGGATAGAGTGTCGGCCTGCGGACTGAAGGGCCCTGGGTTTGATTCTGGTCAAGGGCACATGCCTGGGTTGTCGGCTCGATTCCCAGTAGGGGGCGTGCAGGAGGCAACTGATCAATGATTCTCATCATTGTTGTTTCTCTGTCTCTCCCTTCCCCTTCCCCTCAGGCAACTGATCAATGATTCTCATCATTGTTGTTTCCCTGTCTCCCTTCCCCTTCCCCTCTGAAATCAATAACAACATATTAAAAAAAGAAAGAAAGAAGTTGGTTCATATCCGGCCTGTGTGGCTCAGTGTTGAGCCTCTACCTGAATCAGGGTTTGACTTGCACTCTAAGTGAGATGAGAGCCATTGGGGGATTTTGAGCATAGCGGTCACGTCATCAGACTTGCATTTTTAAAGGGACGCACTGGCTTAGCTGATATATTATGAAGAGACTATTGGGGAACAAAGGTGGTAGCAAGGAAATCACTCAAAGGCCACTGCAGTAACCTGGGAGCAAGATGATGGTGGTAGATGGAAAGGGGGTGTCTGGCCTGGTTGTGGAGGTGGGAGGCAGAGTTGGCAGGGGGCACTGATGGGCTGGATAGAGATTGTGAGCCAGGAGCCAGGAGGACACTTGGGTTTTTGGGCAAAGCAATTGACAGGATGAAGGTGCCCTATGGGGACATAGAGTAGACTTCAGTGACTCGCACACTGAGTTGCGGAAGGTGAGGTGACCATGACATATGTTCCCTCATTGAATCCTGACAAAACCCCTGTGAGTAGTCATTATCAATCCTGTTTTATACGCAACTTAGCAGAATTCCACAATGCGGGCGTATTGCCCAAGGCCACATGGCTGGTTTAGGGGACTGAGTTGAGATGTCAGCGAAGGTCCCTGTGACTTTGAAGTTCCCGAGAGGTGACGACAGTCCCTTTGATCCTTTTTCTGCATAAATGCCAGCATTGTGGTCCAGTCCGAACAGCCTCCCCGCTCGCCCATAAAAGCTCTGGAGCGGTGGTTTGTGCTTAGAGAGTGCTCAAGAGGAGAGACCTGTTCCCGCCCTTCCCCGGGTGTTGGCAAGGGGAGAAGGAAGAGGAATACTGACTGCCAACCCCTTGACTTGGGGCCCCTTCAAATAATTGGCAGCCTGGAGAAGGTGGTAACGAAGCAGACCAAGCAGGCGAGGGAACTTGGACTCAGGTTTACACAGCAACGTCTCACCAATCAGACAAGATTAGCAATGGGGAAACCACAGATAAAAATAGCACTTACTAGTTAGCCGGAAAACAACATATCTTTGCAACCACTGCTTCCACGAGAAAATAATTGGGTCCCTAGACAGGTAGTGACTCATATTCATGAATGATTATATTGATCATTGGAGCAAAATGGATACATACCCTTTGAAGAGCAATTCATGGCTGGTCAGTCATGCCCAGTACGAGATCCTGAGAGGCCACAAAAGGAGGAAGAAGCGAAGCTGCCAGCTAATGAGGGAGCCAGGTCCTGCCCCAGCACCAGCGGGTTTGGGTTGTTGATTGGGAGATGGAGAGCATAGAACTCACTTCCAGCGGAAGCCCTCAGTTCTCCCAAGGGAGGAAAGGAAGAGTATTCATTCAGGTATCAATTCCGTATGCTGTGTAACCCATTGGGTGTTTTGCTTGTTTCCATTTTTTTTTTTTTCCAGAAGGGATTGACTAGCAGCAAGCAGCACATTGTGATGGGAAAAGGAATAAGCTGGGAGTTTGGTTTCAGCCTCCCCTTTGGCACTGACAGGAGAGTGTGACCCCAAGCATTTCCCCTCCCCTTTCCTGGTCATTCAGTCATTCATTCTATAAATAGTTATCAAACACTCGCTCATAACTAATAAAGAACATTGGTTGTGTGCTTACTGTGTTGCCAGGTACTATTCTAGGCACTTAACATGTGTTAACTCATTTCTTCTTCACAGCAACTGAGAGTAGGTGCCATTAGCTCCATTTTGCAGATGAATCGAAGAAAGGTTAAGTAACTTGACCAATGTCACTCACCTGGTAAGTGACAGACAGGCATTAGACCAGCGGTTCTCAACCTGTGGGTCGCGACCCCTTTGGGGGTCGAACGACCCTTTCACAAGAGTCGCCTAAGACCATCGGAAAACACATATATAATTACATATTGTTTTTGTGATTAATCACTATGCTTTAATTATGTTCAATTTGTAACAATGAAATTGGGGGTCACCACAACATGAGGAGCTGTATTAAAGGGTTGCGGCTTTGGGCAGGTTGAGAACCACTGCATTAGACACTGTTAGATGCTGGAGAAAAAGGGTGCAAAATGGACATAGCTTGTGGCCTCACGGAGCTTATTTTATCTGATGTGCTGGAAACAGTGACAGAAATAAAAGTACAAAGTACTTCTGTGAACAGCTTGGGGTGTTGACTCCCAGGCCCCAAGGTCGTGCCAGTCTTTGGTTGGTCGGGAGAGCGCTTTCAGAGAGTGTGACTCACAGCCTCCCCCAGGAGCTGATGCTGGTATAAGCAATGGAAGTCCGTTTCATTTACAGGTGTGGAAACCAGGGTTCAGAGAAGGGCAGATGTTTGGGGCTCAGCTTACCCAAACTTACAGCCCTAGGGCCGGGCTGGTGAGAAGGATTCCTGCAGTCGTGCAGGTAGTTTCGTGGCAGAGTTCAGAGACTGGGACCCAGGCCTTTCCACTTCCAGCCCACGACTTGGCATTTTAGCAGCAGCTCTGCTGCCTGGCTGGCTGGGATGCGAAGTCCCACCCTAGATTCAGATTCAGGGGGCTGGGGTGGAGCCTGGGTTTCTGTACCTTTTCTAACGTTTCCGAGGGGATTCGGATCAGAGCCAGCTTTAGGAGTTCCTCCGTGTAGATGGCCATGGAATAAGGAGAAATGAGCAGGTTCTGGAGCATGGACTGGAGCCGGAGCAGGAAGAGGGTCATCAAAGGTTACCAGAGGCGATGGCTTCTCCATGGTGCCTGGAGAGGAGCTGGGGGACAGGTTTGGGTGGGACTCAGGGGCAGGTTGGAACCTAAGCTTTCATTTCCTTCTTAGTAAGCCTTGAGGGACAGTGGGCTCTTGGCTGCAGCTCCCTCCTGGGCAGACTTGTGAGCAAACCTGTGAGTGGGTCCACACACACTTGCACACACATCCAGGCGCAGGGTGAGTACCACATGACTGCTCTCCCTTGCCCGTCAGTAGGTGGCCTTTGTTACTGTCCGTCTCTCCAGGTTTCCTGAGGGGCGAGACCTGTGTGTTCCTTTGGTTGCCTGAGGGGTCCCTGGCATGATGCGAAGCCCAGAGGAGCTCAGCCAGTGGTTAATGAAGGATGAGTGCGGAGGGGTTTGCTGGACAGGAGCAGCTGTTATGTGTCCCCTTTAAGCCAGGGGGCCAGGGCCTGTGCTGCACATCCCCTTGGCCTTCCTGACGGAGGCCACGCAGCTGTTGGTCTGTTTCTGCAGATGGTCCAAGGCATGGAGAAGGGCAGATATTCGTTAGTTACCCCAGGAGCCTGGGCTGAGCTGAGCCTGGAATGCACGTCTGTGCCCTGTTTGCTGTTCATAAGACCCCACCCTTGTTCTGCTGAGGGAAAACGCCAATATGATGGAGAAATCATTTTTCTTTGGCTCTGCATTGATTTGCGTGCAGACAGATTCACCATCCTTAGTAGGTCCTAGACCAGCGGTTCTCAACCTGTGGGACGCGACCCCGTTGGTGGTCAAACGACCCTTTCACAGGGGTCGCCTAAGACCATCCTGCATATCAGATATTTACATGACGATTCATAACAGTAGCAACATGACAGTTATGAAGTAGCAACGAAAATAACTTTATGGTTGGGTCACAACATGAGGAACTGTATTTAAAGGGCCAGAAGGTTGAGAACCACTGTCCTAGACTAAAGGTAAATTAATTTTCGTTCCCTGAGTACAGAAAAGCAGGGGTCTAGGGACTCAGCGTTAGGGGCCTTGAATTCTATCCAGCCTCCACGAACAGCTGTGGCGCTGGGCCAGTCCCTTCCCCTCTCTGGTCCTCCATCTCTGCTGCTGTAAGTGCAGAGTTAGAGTCTATCCCAAGCCTGTTACGCAGCGCAACTGCCGTCCCCAGCATTCGGACTCCGCCGGTTTCGACAGGGTCCTGGTTCTGTGGACCGGCAGGAGGTAGTCTCAGCCGCATGGCCTTCCAGCCCCTTTCAACCCACTGGCAAAGCCCTGAGACCGAGGCGTGCTTTCCATGTTTCTGAGATGTCAGGACTGTGGAGAACTAGCCTTTGGCTTTCCGCTCCGCCACGGCCTATTCTCAAGCCCCATTCCCATTGTTCCAGGTGGGTCTGCAGCAGAAGAGTGGCAGACTGATTCAGAGACAACAGGACAAAGTTGGGATCACAAAGGCCGTCCAACTTCAGCCGAGTAGATGGACATTCTTTTTTTTTTTTTTGACAACGGAACCTATCCTTCACTCCTTTTTTGTGAGCTGCAGGGAGACGACTCCTGCAGATGACTCCAGTCTCAGATGGAGAAGAAATGCTTTGTAAATGGCTTAATAACTTAGAGCTCTCCGTCTGGATGATGAAGCTGCGGATAGTCCCTCTCTCCGCCCTGGCTTCCCTGGGGGAGAAGGCGCTCGGGTAGATTTAAGCGTTTAGGTTGGTCCCCGTGCTGCTCCAAGCCACCCACCCACTCAGCCCTCATCTGAGCAGCTGCCTCCCCCGTCATTTGGTGTGTCCTCAGGGGAGGAAACTCCTTTCAGTATAAGCTCAAGCAAAATGTAATTAGGACAGTAAATCTGCTGTTTAACAACAACAACAAAAAGTCACGACAGATTTCTGGGTTCTGGAGACATGATTTGACGCTGAAGGCAGGGTGGGAAGATCTGACCTTCAACTTAATTTATTTCAGTCTGGCAACAAAATTCAAGACATGGTAACCCTGTGACTTCAGAGAATGCAACATGACTTTTTTTTCTTTTTTTTTCGAGAGAGAGAGAGAGAGAGAGAGAGAGAAACATCAACTTGTGTTTACCTTACTCATGTATTCATTGGTTGATTCTTGTATGTGCCCTGACTGGAGATCAAACCTGCAACTTAGGGGTATCAGGACAATGTCTAATCTATTGTTAGGTAGTCTTGAGGTTGCAGGGATGGGGACATAATTTTATGAAAGCTTTTTTTCCCTTGCAATCTGACTAACCCCTACTTCCCACCCCACATCACCATCCTCACTTCCTTTAAGGTATCAGGCAGTGTACCAAGAGTTTCCTAAACATTTTCTCATTCAGTCTGCACAGCAGCCTCTGAGACAGATTCTCTCATCCCCGTTTTATGGATGAGAAAACTGAGATTCAGAGAGGCAAGTGACTGGCCTGGGGTTGCACAGCATGTAAGCGAGGAACTGGATTTGAAGAGGTCCGTGCTCCTAACCGTGCTGTAGGCTGCTGCTCAGTCTGAGAGCTGCAAGTCACACCAAGCCCAAAGTTATCCCCACCCCAAGCCTGTCATCCCTTCCTCACACTCCTCTTTGGCAAGACCCCTACTTCTCTAAACCTGACGTAGCGGCCACTGAACCACTGCTTGCCATTGAGGTTTTCATCTGGTCCACTGCTTGGCTGAGGAGGAGGGATTACTCGTCTAGATTAGCCACCCAGATAGTCCTACTGCTGGTGTTGGGGGGGCGGGGCAGGCCATTTCTTCCTGAGAGCCTAGTTTAGGTGTGCCAGACTAGAAAGTGGAGGCCCTGGCTGGTGTGGCTCATTTGATTGAGTGTCTTCCTGTGCACATTCCCGGTCAGGGCACATGCCCAGGTTGTGGGCTCAATCCCCCGTCAGGGTACGTGCAGGTAGCAGCCGATCAGTGTTTCTCCTTCCTTTCTCTCTCTCTCTCTCTCTCTCTCTCTCTCTCTCTCTGTCTACCTCCCTCCCTCCCTTCCTCCCTCTCTCTCTACGTCCCTCCTTCTCCCCCTCTCTCCCTCCTTCTCCCCCTCTCTCGCCCTCTTCTTCTCCCTCAAATTAGTTTAAAACAAAGCCAAGGCTGGGGAGGGAGGGTTGCCCTGTGGGCACGGGAGGGTGCCTTGGGTCTCAGGTGTCCCTTCTACTGGAAGTGTGCCTGCGTCAGTGACTGCCACCTCCAGAAAGCACGCTGCTTAACAGCACCGGACCTTCTTCTGCCTCCTCAGCTCTTTGCTAAATGTAGACTGTGTTCGTTTGCCGTCTGTATGAGTGTTTTTTTAAATAATACTGGAGGCCTTTCCTGAAAGGGTTTTCGGTTTCAGGATGGACTCAGAGCTCCCCAAGCTCTGGGCATGACTGCCCAGACAGGCTGTGTCTCCCTCCCCTGCCTTGGCCTTCCTCTCCTAGCACTGATCAGGCCTGCTCTTGTCCCACAGGTCGTTCTTTCTGGCA